CTTCTCTCCTTCTCTCCTTCCTTCCCTCCTTCCTTCCCTCCTTCCTTCCCTCCCCCCCTCCCTCCTTCCTACCCCCCTTTCTTCTCTTTCTTCTCTCCTTCCTTCCTTCCTCCTCTCCTTTCGGCACGGAATGCTTTGGCCAAGCAAGGGAAAGCCTTGTTTTGACTTAACCAACGCTCTTTTCAATCACTGTTGGGTTCCCCCCTCCTCCTCCTTTTTCTAAGTACAGATATTCCTCAATTAACACTTAGCGTTTATGGCGGTTCGAAGTTAGGACCTCTAGCAGCTGACTGTCCCATCACACCTCGCCTGGAGAAAGACCCCCCCAACATGGAGAAGCAAGGAAACCTTTTGAGCGTTTCCCCAGCACGATACCATGGCAAGGAGAAACACCGAGGGAGAGAAGCCAGCATCGTCCTCCCTATCGTTCTTACTGACGGCCGTATTTTATAGCTCACTCTTGACATTTCAAGCATCTCGCCAAGCTTTGCCTTTTTAAAAAACGATGATCTGAAGCGGGAGGGTCCAGTGGCGTGTCCCCAAAAAATGTTAACCCGATGCATCAGACCTCTGCATGGTTCTTACGGGCCATGCACCCTCCCGATACCCCTAATCCAGGGGTGAAATCCAGCAGGTTCTGACAGGTTCTGGAGAACCTGTAGCGGGAAATTTGAGTAGTTCGGAGTATCTGTAGCGAGAATTTTGAGTTGTTCGGAGAACAGGTAGTGGGAATTTTGAGTCGTTCAGAGAACCAGTAGCGGGAATTGCGTTCAGAGAACCAATAATGGGAATTTTGAGTTGTTCGGAAAACAGGTAGTAGGAATTTTGAGTAATTTGGAGAACCAGTAGCGGGAATTTTGAGTAGTTCGGAGAACCGGTAGCGGGAATTTTGAGTAGTTCGGAGAACTGGTAGCGGGAATTTTGAGTAGTTCGGAGAACCGGTAGCAGGAATTTTGAGTAGTTCAGAGAACCGGTAACGGGAATTTTGAGTAGTTCGGAGAACTGGTAGCAGGAATTTTGAGTGGTTCAGAGAACCGGTAACGGGAATTTTGAGTAGTTCAGAGAACCGGTANAAATGAGAGGGAGGGAGGATGGAAAGAAGGAAAGAAAGAAAGGAAATTATGTCCATCCAGAGCTGTTTTCGAATTGGGAAAAAGGAAGGGAGACAAAGGAAGGGAGGAAAAAGATGAATGGAAGGGGGGGAGAGAGAGAGAATGGAAGGAAGGAAGGAATGGAGAAGGAAAGGAGGGACGAGAGAGAGAAGAAAAGTTCGACTACATTTAAGGCTCATTTTGCAACATGTGGCGGGGGCTGGGAAGTTGGCCGAATTTGACCACTGCTCACCCCCACCTCTCTGGCAATTCCTACACACCCTCTTCCTCCTCCTCCACCAGCCAGACTCCGATGGGCTCAGGTGAGGATTTCCACGCTTGGCATCCAGAACCCTGAACCCCTGCCTGTTGCTTTGGCAACGGCGGTCTCTAAAAAGGGGGGGGGGGTGTGCCACCGCTTGGGCAGTCGTGACTCAGTCCCCAGCCCCCCCAAAAAACCAACCCACCCCCCTCCAAGAGGCTGTCGCTCCCCTGCAAACGTTGAGCAGACGATGCTCCATCCCTGGGGAGGACGAGCCGGGAAGCTGAGATGCGTTTGAGGCTGCTGAACTTCAATCAACATCTGTTGGGGTCACCGTCGGCCTCCACCTTTTTACTCACCACGCCGTCCCCATGGCAACGCCAAAACCGCGAGGCGGCAGGTGTAAAAATAGCCCCGGTGCGCCAAAAATAACTTAGCATGTGTCACAAGCAAAAAAAGATCCATTTTGGGCAACCAGAGAGGTATTTTTATCGTCTCTTTTGTGTTGCCGAGGCCCGGGCGGAGATCTGTCAATCCCAGCCGGGCAGCTGTTGGGTCACACTAGGGAAGGAAGAGAAATGGAGCCCGGTTCTCCCCCACACCAGGGCTTCCCTCCGAAGGCTGGCAAGGCCAGGAAGGTGGCCAGGGGTTCGAGGTTTCATTGGGGTGGCCCCAAAGCCCCCCGAAAGAATGGCAAGGTTGCCGGAGGGCACGCAATGCTTTGTTTTTGTTTTTAATTTATTTCTTTTATTTTATCAATTTCATATATACATTCACAATTATATGATCTCATAACTGTTATTAATAATATGTATTTATAACAATTTTCCCCTACTGTTAACAATATACTTGAAGATTGCTTTTTTAACATCCCATAACTCCATCTTATCTTACAACGGTCCTACTTCTTCTTCCCTCCCTCCCTCTTTCCTTCCCTCG